GAAGGTGCCTTATACTTATGAGTAACAGGAAAACGTAAATAACAACATTAATTATGTAACAATATCAAATATAAAACCAGATGACCAAGAAAGGTCAAGGCTACCATTTATAACCGCGAGTCTCAGTTCTGCCGTCACTTTCACTCCTTTACCGAAGTCGCCCGCAGAATTGCAATCCTCCACGTACCCGAACGACCCGATTTGCAAAAGATGCAAAGCGAATTGGAAAGTGAGCGATCAATTAGAGGATTCTACATTTTAGATATGACATATAAATCTGGATTATTATTATTGCAAATTTATTACAATAGAGATTGTTGAAGGTTGTGGAGGATTCACAATCTCTTAATGAAATGCCGCATATTATTAAAGATTCAACCTTTAGTGGTGCACGTGATGTAATTCTATTTCACTCGGCCGGAATCTGCATAATTAACAGTCTTGGGCGGTGATCACACGGGAATTTTTGACCGGCCCGAATGCTCTCTTCTTATATAAAAAAAATGTTATAAATTTGCAGGTCTATCAAAAGCGAGAAAGAGAGAAATATTTAAATCTGAAGGCGATCGATTTCGCAGTCACATGAGAACGTTGAACAATGGTCGGTGTAGCTAATTAGCAACAATTTGATTAAAATGTTGCACGGGAGACGCCATACTGTGATAATAACTTCTTTTTCAGTCCAAACTTGCCCTTAAAGTCACCCCTGTCGACTTAAAGAAACCCCTTTCAATTCTGCTCTTTGTTTACCACAAAGTCAACTAAAAACAAATGAACCTTACATTTTAAATGTAGGAAGGACTACAAAAATTTATAATCGGAAATACTTCAATTTTTTGTCTTTCAATTCCTCGTCCTGGTCCTTGGCGTCGGGTCGCTCCTCTTGGTTAACGACCCAGACACAGTCTTAGGCTTTGGCGCAGAACCCGCACGACCCGAGGGAGGTTTTACCATCGACCTGGCGCTTCCTGGCGGGGCAGTCCTATTCTTCTTGTTAATAGGAACTGGACCACCACCAGAAGCCGTCCCCTCTTTCGAGGAGCCTGTCTCGTTACCTTCCATACAATTCCCATGAGTAATGCGGAAAAGCCTGGACGGAGCCGCTTGCCCAGAAGCTACGGGTCTTAGAGAAACCGCTTAAACTGAAGAAATACAAGAACTGGCGCAGAGTAGGAGAATTTACAGGATCTGTGACTGTTTAAAAACGGACACGAAACCTGTGAAACTACAGAAGCGACTGGAGATCAGAAATCTGTGAGGTTAATTAAGTTGCATGAACTGCAGACGCCTGGAAAAGTTTCCGAAGTTCCATAAAGTGCAGGGAGCGAATTGATAGAATTGATGGAAGGAGTAAGTAGAGGAAGAAATAGGATTAAGGAATGAAATGAAGAGAAGGGAAAAGCAATTGGATAAGGAAAAAAGGAACCGATAGGAAAGAAAAAAAACTGGAAAAAGAAAATAAGAGGAGCACAGAACAATATAACGAAAAAAGGAGTAAAGATGGAAAAAGAAAAGAGAGAGAAAGCACGAAGGAATGGTTGAAAGTAGAGGCGAGCCTAAAGCAATAGCAGAACAATTGACGTAGATAAGGTACCGCGGAATTAATATGGAAAAATAAGAGAGAAATTTTGAAGGGTAAAGGAAAGTTAGATAATGAAGGATATATATATATAATATATATATATATATATCAAACTTTTTTCGGGATCAAAATCGGAACACTTAAATGTACGGAAGCTGCAGGGGTTGCGGAATTAGTCACTTCAAAGGTGCTCGCTGACTGGAGCTTAAACGCGATTAATTGTAAGGTTGCGCCAGCAGGTTTGTGGAATGGGATAATTAAACGATCCCCGCGTGCAAGGGATAGGTAGGTATGACGGCGTACTTTATTATTTGGGTGAAATACAAGTGTTGCACATAAATCACCTTCGCGTAACTTTGGAGGAAAAAGTAGGACAGGGATGGGATCTTCGAAGTACGCTCGAATAATTCGCCAGCCTCTAAAAGAACATAGAAAACTGACTAGTCGTATAATGTGACCGATATCTCGACCCACTAAAGTGAAATATCCACCAAGTCCGTACAGTTGAATTACCAATATAAATCTCAATACATGCCTGCGACATTAGTCTGTTGATTAGATGCCTAACTTCAGACAAGAAGAGCCCATGTTCGAATCCGGGTTCGGGAATGAATTTTTTTAATGTAGGATTTTATTGGGAGCGCTAGGATCTGTCAAATCCAATTCTAGTTAAATGGTGAAATACATGCAATAGAAAACCCCTTCAATTGGCCTTAGGTTAATCTCTTTAAGAACATATAAATTAAAATTTTCCTAAGTTCGTTTTTCAATCAATTGCAATTTACGATGATTTTTTAAAGATTAATTTTATATAAATGGAATAACGGAACCTCAAGTAATAGGTGCGATGTTGATATAAAATTAGACTGGAAACGACCCTCCTTGCAGTTTTCTAGGAGTGACAGAGTGCAATTCCCTTACTGGTTTCACGGGGAGTGAACAACTACTCTGAATTTTTAACAATAGTTCTGTATGGTAACGAAAATATACTGGCGCGCTGAATTAGTTCGTCCTTGATCGCGACCACAGCTCTTCTTTCGGTCACCGGACGGTCTGGGGGGTAGGAATACCCCCCGAGCCTATATGAAGGTTGTATGACTTTTGATTGAGAGGTCGTTGAGGTCAGAAAAACATTGTCTGAGATCGACTGGGAAAAAACATTTTCTAATAGAATGTGGCCCGTAGAATCCGTAATTTCGAACAGTTCCAAGATTGGGCTACTAATTCAAAAGCTACAGCCCTTTGAATTTTTTTTTCGAAATTGGTTTCTAGTCCATAACTTTTGATTGAGAAGTCTAATCGAAAAAGTACGAATTGTTTTGGATTCTACGCACCAAAATTAATAAGAAAAAGTGTTTTCCCGAGAAATTTTGGTGTAGTCGATTTTTGGTAAAAAAGGAAGGTTATACACTGCCTTTTTTGAGCCCCGAAAAAAAAATTGTCTCAGATCGACCCGGAAAAAAAAATTTCTTATAGAATGTGGCCTGTAGAATCCATAATTTCAAACAGTTCCAAGATTGGGCTACTAGTTCAAAAGTTACAGCCTTTTGAATTTTTTTCGAAAGTGGTTTCTAGTCTATAACTTATATAAATATGAATATAAAGCATTCATATATTGTGGAGGTTGTTACTTTACGTAGTGCACAGAACGTTTTTGTTTCTTTGATAGATTATGTTTAAATAATCTGTAACCAACACTTAAACAACCCCTTATTTAATAAATTTGGTAAGGGGAGTCACTCTCAGCAGAACAATTTGCGTTTCCCTCTCACAGTTACCCCCTCAACCCCAAAACGTTTTAATCATTCCTGCTACACAGACACTCCCTCAAAATGTGAGGAGGAAGTGAGTTTGGGGAGGTAATCGCCGTTCCGTCCACTTCCTGATCCTTGTAATTGTTCCGTGGCGAAACGCATCAGAACTAAATATACACAAATGAGATCAAACATGGAAACGAGGTGACCTAACAAAATTACTTTCAATGGCGGCCACCTCACAGTTTTCCGCAAGCCCCGAATTATCTATACGTAATTAATAACGACTTCCAACAACACCAGTATTAACAAACATCTTAAATATTTGCCTTCGGGCTCACGAAGAAGACCTTGTCTTTGCAATATTACTATATCTTCTATAATTGCGTGCACTTGGGAGTGTCATAACAAATGTCGGTAATAAAATCGTAGATGTTTGAGGAAAAAATTATCGTTTGCGTAAGGTTAAAAAAACGTAACGTAATTGAAAGATCACGAAAAATTGAGACCGTTATCAAAGTAATTTATCATTATTAGGTGTTTGAGAATATGGGTCTTACATGATTTGCTCTTTCGAGTCGAGTCGTGGAGGTTGCTCGTTTGTGTGATATTTTAAGGTGGGTAGGTAAGTAGAACGTTATTTATGGAATAGGTAACTATAGGGTTGCAGTGTGCGCAATTGTTGACATTTGAATTTAAAGTGACCTTCTTTTGAGAAATTAAAATAAAGGCGAATTTCCTGACGTCAACATCTTTTTCCTTGCGACAAGGAACTTTTTGCGCTTCTGGATCGTGGGTTGAACACCCCAAGTCCTGACAATGTTCTTTTATCATGGTGGGATATTGTCATAGTAAACTTATGTCTAGGTCTCCATAGGTCACAAAGAAACCCCTTTCAGAGAAACTGGTGATGATCATTTTCCCTTCCCAGGAGCATCTTGATTCCCTTAAGGAACTTGTGTCTTCTGAGTGATATAATACACCCAGAGGAATTTCTTTTTCCTGGAACCTCATTGCACAATGGTTCCACTTCGGAACCTGTACTGCGAAAGTGAAGGATAATTTACAGGCTAAGGGGCGAGACACCATAACTAGAGCCAGATATAGAGTTTCAAAGCACTTTACTCAAGTGAGTCAGGTGAAAGATAGTGGGGGAGTAGTTCTGGAAAGTGAAGATAGTATCAGGAACGGGTAGGGTGGCTACCTTAGTAAATTATTAAAAGAAAATCGTCAAAGAATTAATAGATTTTAGCACATTATTTATATTTCTTAAATTATTTTGGATTATTCGAATTTCTCGTATCTTGAGTATCCGTCAGGTTCTTCGATTCGAGGAATTCTTAGAGTCCTTCGAATTCGTACATGATACTTAAGACTTAATGGATTTTCGAAAAAGAGGCCGAACATTCTTGAAATGAGGGCATTTAATCGACGCGAGTGGACGAAAAAGATTTTAGTGAAATTCGCTCTCGTGTTGTAATTTTACGTGTGTGAGTACAGGGAAGTGATAAACAATAATGAACTGTTAATCAATCTCTTGAATGCTTTTTATAAGAGAAATATTTGATTTTTCTTAGGATTTCACACTATTTGCCATAATTTCAGAAAAGAAACGTTTAAGTAGTGGGATAAATTTGAACGGGCGAAAATTTTAAGAAATGGGAACGCATTTGGCATTCAAATTAACAACAAAAGAAATGTCAATCGTGATTTCTACAATAAACTGAAATTAAATCAAATTTATAGTCATAAGTCATTAAAACTTATTGATTTTTTGTTAAAGGAAATATGCAACTTTATTAATCGCAAGTATTAATGCAAGTCGGCAACTTAACCCAACTTTTTCCCAACTGTTTCTTCTCGTTAATAAGTGATGGTCTTAAAGCACGAAGATGAGATGATTTCAATAAAAACTGCAAATATCGGCGATAGAATTGAGAGTGGCGGCTCATTCGGCACCGTTAAGTATATCGGTTTAATCGAGGGCTACACGAACATCTGGCTCGGCGTCGATTGGGACTACAGCGACCGCGGGAAGCACAATGGTAGCGTTAACGGCGTGAGCTATTTCTGCACGAGGTAGGTCTGGGCCATTACGAGCCGCCGCCCTGCTGTAGTTACGTTTTAGGACGCCGACGTCCGGTTCCTTTATACGACCCGAGAAGGTCCACCTCGGCCGGTCGGTAATGAAAGCGATCACGTCGCGTTACGGACAAATGGACGACGAGGCCGCTGCCAAATTGACCGAAGCGGAACTGTACAGTATTCAGAAGACCATGAACGCGCCCTTCCTGGAGTTTGTCGGTTTCGACGAGATCGCCAGTAAACAAAGGTAAGTCCACTATTCGGAATGTACAAAATCTTTTGATGTGTATACAGGGTGCTTCAACTAAAATTGTGCACTCCCACTGTTAACACAAAAATGCTTGGAACATCAAAGTTGTGTTGAAGGCAGTCCATTTTCATTCGGGGTAGTAACCCCCTTCTTTCAATTCATTTTCAATTTTGATACACATAGTTCCCGAAAAACGGGAATATACAAAATCTGCTAATGCGTATACAGGGTGCTCCAACTGAAATTGTGCACTTCCACAGAAATTGCTAGAGCAGTGCTTTGAATCAGTAAAATGTGATCTGATTGATTAGTCTTCAGATTATTAAGATTTCAGTTAATGATAAATCATTTGATGAACTCTCAAATGAGAACCGTTTATTATTATTATTATTACTTTAAAAACTTTTACTAGAAACCTTGCTAGAATTTGCTGTGCAAACCATCTAGCAAATCTACTTTGAATCTGAACAAACTGTTTCAATACCTTGGAAAACTATGCTGATTATCGTAGATCTTCTCTTAGGAAACTTGCACGTGCCGTATTCTGAATAAAAAATGTTTTAATGGAAAAATTTGTTTTGTGTACCACAATTTTTGTACGATTTGTTCCTGTTTATTATTAAAACCAGAGAGGTTTTGAATAGCTGAGGTTGACGATGGCAGCACCATATTAAAGCCTGGGGGGACTGCAAATCGGAGCCGTGTTTGATGGGTTGCCTAAGTCTTGGTGTCTTGCTTGGAGTATGGAAGATTTGCGCGCCTTTTTTACGATTTGTTCCTGTTTATTATTAAAACCAGAGAGGTTTTGAATTGCTGAGGTTGACGATGGCAGCACCATATTCAAGCCTGGAGGGACTGCAAATCAGAGCCGTGTTTGATGGGTTGCCTAAGTCTTGGGGTCTTGCTTGGAGTATGGAAGATTTGCGGGCCTGCGCTGTCGTCCCCTTGTTTCAGGGCGACGGCCAATAGCTGCGCACTTCAGGATGCAGGGGTTGGGGTTCCTTGGAGTGTTATAGTACTAGGGGTGGTCCCAGTCGGTTGTTGCACTGCGACCTTTTGGTCTATTGTGCTCATCTACCCTTCAAGGATACCTGTATCTAGTCTAGGATTTTGATAGGGCGCACCGTTGTTACTTCCTCTTGTGTTTCTCACAATGGTAGATGACAGTGTGGTGTTTCATCTTCCTCGCCACAACCCCTGCATAATGGACGTCCCAGTTGGTTGTTCTCTGATTTATTTATACAACTACAGCCGCTTCGCTTTGTACAGGTTGGCCAACTAAGAATGCGAGGTACTGTATCTGAGAATCTATCCATCGCAGAGGCTTGCAGTAAAAAACTAAAACGGCCACGAGCAAAACCTGGAAAATATTTTTAAGTTTCTGAAATGGCCGCTAGGGGGCGTAACTGCAATCTGGAATCTAAAAAAGTGATGTCTTGTGAATTCCGCTATATTAACCTAACAAAAAAATGTCCAGTCTTTGAAGTGACGATAATCTGAACAATTTTTGTTTGACAATTTTTCCTGTATCTCCAAAAAGTGAAGTGGTGGGGGGGTATTTAAAGGTTTCCGTGAAGAACACCCTGTATCTTCGAAACGGCTGAGCCGATTTAAACAAGCTCGGGTTAGTTAAAAAGAGCTATTCTTCAGCTACATATATTACACTATTTGAAGTTTTGTTAGTTTCACATATCATATAATTTTGAGGGTATAAAATTTTCTTTGGCCTAAATTTTATGGTTAGGAACAAGATATCGAGATGCGATTTTCGCGAGCTTGTTTAGGCATCATTTAGCTACTTTTTCATGAAAAAAAAATCGAACCAGTGTATTTAATTTTTTTGAGAAAATTTGCCATTTCTGTCGGAATATCGAAAAAAGCCCTCAAGCGGCGATATGTGAAACTAATAAAACTTCAAATATAATATTTGTAGCCGAAGAATAACTCTTTTCAATTAACCCGAGTTTGTTAAAATCGGCTCAGTCGTTTCGAAGATACAGGGTGTTCTTTACGGAAACCTTTGAATACCCCCCACCACTTCATTTTTAGAGATACAGGAAAAATTGTCAAACAAAAAAGGTTCAAATTATCGTCAACTTCAAAAACCGGACATTTTTTTGCTAGGTTAATATAGCGGAATTCACAGAAAAATCACTTTTGTAGATTCCAATAGTCACTAAATATAGAAAGTACCGCAATCCATTGGGCGCGTGTGTTAGAGAGGACGCATGATTTTTGCCCAAAAATGGCGGAAGTTACCAGATTCTAGTAACTTTAATGTTAGGGATTGTTCCACCTGTTTGGAGATATCTGTATATATTTTTATAAAACATGACAGTACTATGAAGTTAGGTTATAAAAAATGACAGCTATTCAGATTTTATTTGTCAATTTTTTTAAGTTGGCAGCAAATTTGCCCAAAAATGGCGGATGATTGCGGTACTTTCTATATCTAGTGACTTTAGATTCCAGATTGCAGTTACGTCCCCTAGCGGCCATTGCAGAAAATATTTTCCAGGTTTTTCTCGTGGCCGTTTTAGTAATAAATTTTTTTACCGCAAGCCTCTACGATGGACAGGTTCCCAGATACAGTACCTCGCATTCTTATTTGGCCACCCTGTACAATATCAAAACGAATATATAGCGATGGCTCATCCGACACATGCCATTTGTGTACTGAGCTGCAGGCAGTCACAGTTTCAAACGTTCTGTCGATTGGGAGTAACACTGCGAGCATTCTATATTCGGTCCGTGCAGTCCAGCGAGTGGATTGTTTAATAATAATCACCAGTGACGTGCTGCAGTCCTGTAGCGTAACAGTGACACGAGATTTTAATATGTGAGAGAAAAAATTTAAAGTGTTTTGCCGGTTTCCAACGAAATTGGCGCACATTTACTAAACCCATTTTGGGTTTCAGCAACTTCCAGAAGCTGGAGGTGATCAATTTGCGACTGCAGAACGTCAGCAACATCGACGGTCAGGTCGGTTTGCGAGAACTCTGCCCGCACGTCGTCGAGCTCGACGTCTCGAAGAATCTGTTTACCGAATGGACGACCATCTTCAACATTTGCCTTCAGCTGGAGCTGCTGAAGTGGTTGAATGTCAGGTGCGTTTTCGACGCCCCTCCCCCGCGTGTAATCCCTGAACTTGCAGCGAGAACATTATGGGGGAGATGCCGACCGATTACGGATATTATCGATTTCCGAAGTTAAAGTCGTTAATCTGCGGCACGATGCGGTTGGATTGGGATACCGTGTTGGAATTGGGGCGGGTCTATCCGTTCGTGGACGAGTTGCGAGCGCCGCTTAACGGAATTACAACTTTGGATACGCCCGAAGGTCTGTTTCCGAATCTCGCCGTACTCGACTTGGAAGGAAATCCGATCGGTGGTTGGGAGGAAGTTTGTAAGCTCGCGGCGATTCCGCGCTTGGAACATTTGAACGTCGAAAATACGGGAATTACGCGAATTTACTTTCAGAAGTCGAATATGTTTCCTAATTTGAAGAAGCTGGTGATATCGTGCAATCGTATTGGTGACGTAGGTATTAATTGATTGTTGTAATTGTTCTCGCCACGTGCTTGAAGTATCACGTGGAAATTTTTGATTAGCCTGACTAATTATGTATAATCGACTGTTTCCAGTGGGAGTCGATAGGGGAGCTTGACAAACTACAGTGCCTGGAAGATCTTCGCTTTTTAAAAAATCCAATTTTGGAATCGGAAACGTACGCCACCTGCATACAGCTAATAATCGCTCGAATTGGCAACCTGCAGGTTCTCAACGGCGCAGTACTTCGTTCGGACGAACGAAAAGGCGCCGAATACGACTATATAAAAAAGTACGGCTTGGAATGGCTGAGTGTCCAAAGTGACGCCGAGCGAAAGCTACAGTTCATCAGGCAGCACAATCGCTACGAAACGCTCATCGAAAGTGAGTTTTTCTAACACGTCCCGGCGAGCGCTAACCATCTCTTGCAGAGTACGGTACGCCAGACGAGAGCGAGCTCGCCGCCAAGCAGACCGTCATCAAGGTGTCTTTAATCGAAGTGTTATTTGTGCATAATGAAAAATCGCGCACCAAGAAGCTGCCACCGACGATACTCGTTCAAAAACTGATAATGCTGGCCCAAAAATTGTTCGCCCTGTCCTCCAGGCCGACTTTAAAGTACGTAAGCGGCCTCGCGTCCGAAATCGAGATCGAGCTGAACGACGAGGGCAAGGAGTTGGGATTCTATTCCGTTCAAGATGGTGATAAAATTATTGTAACATTGTGATAATAATAAATTTATTAATAATAAACGTTATATAGCTAATTCGCCTACAAGTTTTCGTAGCTCCTCGTATATCGAACACAGCTCCTTCGCGCGGAGCGGACGCTCGCACAGTTCCGCCTGTAAATGACTCTTGATCACCTGCAAGTTCAATTTAAATTAGTCAACCTTTTTATAATCGACTGTTTCAAGATAAATTGACATTCAAATATAAGGTTACGAAACTGGTTCACCGCAACTCACAAACGAATAATTTACTGCTACACTCGTTTATATGAGTGCAGTTAAACCCCAATAAATCATCACCTGAAACTGATATCTTTTTTAGGAAAAAACGCTTGCTTCAAAGGTATCATGTAATCTGCTTTTTTATGATACGTTCTGTCGTACATACCTCGGGCTGGGCCCCACGCGGCTTGACGCGCTTTTTTTTTTACTTTTGTTCGTGTTTATTACTAACAATTCATTTATTGTCTACAGTCAGGCAAGGCTGCTCATATTAAAAAAGAGTCTTACATCCTTAATGTCTTATGGGACTTTAGATATCGGGCAAAAAATATTGAAAATTAAAAAATATACCACCAGAAGATTGTCATAAACGTGTGGCCCCTTTAAACTTTCAAGAAAATTAGATTTGAGCCCTCTCCCATAAACGTTACAGCAAAAATCCAAACAATTGGAATACTGCGTGGTATTCCGTACTCCCCAGAGCTATGTTCAGCTATAACAAGTTTTGAAAAATTATCGCGCAAGGGCTAGGGTACTAAACATGTTGGGGAAGAATGTACAGGGTGGCCAACTAAGAATGCGAGGTACTGTATCTGAGAATCTATCCATCGTAGAGGCTCGCGGTAAAAAAATTTATTTCTAAAACGGCCACGAGCAAAACCTGGAAAATATTTTTAAGTTTCTGAAATGACCGCTAGGAGGCGTAACTGCAATCGGGAATGTAAGAAAGTGATGTTTCTGTGAATTCCGCTATATTAACCTAACAAAAAAAGTCCGGTCTTTGAAGTTGACGATAATCTGAACAATTTTTGTTTGACAATTTTTCCTGTATCTCTAAAAATGAAGTGGGGGGGGGGGGTATTCAAATGTTTCCGAAAAGAACACCCTGTATCTTCGAAACGGCTGAGCCGATTTAAACAAACTCGGGTTAGTTCAAAAGTTTTGTTAGTTTCACATATCACCGCTTGAGGGCTTTTATCGACGTCCCGACAGAAATGGTTAATTTTCTCAAAAAAATTAATCGATCCACTTTAGGGCCATAAATTATATAATAAAAATAATTCCGGAAAAATTAGCTTAAAAAAATAAAATTTTGAGGGTACAAAATTTTCTTTGGCCTAAATTTTAGGTTAGGAACAAAATATCGAGATGCGGTTTTCGCGAGCTTGTTTAGGTATCATTTAGCTACTTTTTCATTAAAAAAAAATCAAACCAACGCATTTAAATTTTTAGAGAAAATTAACCATTTCTGCCGGAATGTCGAAAAAAGCCCTCAAGCGGCGATATGCCAAACTAACTAAACTTCAAATATTATAATATTTGTAGCCGAAGAATAACTCTTTTCAATTAACCCGAGTATGTTAAAATCGGCTCAGTCGTTTCGAAGATACAGAGTGTTCTTTACGGAAACCTTTGGATACCCCCCACCACTTCATTTTTAGAGATACAGGAAAAATTGTTCAGATTATCGTCAACTTCAAAGACCGGACATTTTTTTGTTAGGTTAATATAGCGGAATTCACAGAAAAATCACTTTTTTAGATTCCAGTTTGCAGTTACGCCCCCTAGCGGCCATTGCAGAAACTTAAAAATAATTTCCAAGTTTTTCTCGTGGCCGTTTTAGTAATAAATTTTTTTACCGCAAGCCTATACGATGGACAGGTTCCCAGATACAGTACCTCGCATTCTTATTTGGCCACCCTGTGCAACCGGGTCTGGAATGAATCTTCAGTCATAAGATATTTGTTTACAGGGGGGTATTCCATACCTCCCACACCAGCCAAAATCCACAAAACAATATAGTATCTGACAGCCCAAAAATTGACCAACTAAAAATTGTTTCACAAAAAGACAGGCTACGAAAAGTTTAACTTAATAATCAAAAATTACAATTCTCAAAAAATCGGTTTGACCTACAATGGAGAATGAGAAAATTGAGAGGAAAATTTTCGAATTTGGTCCCAAAAATTGCCAAAAAAAATTTAATATGCCAAACTTAGTTTTACTCAGTTTTACCTTTCCCTTTTGCTGAGGGGTAAACCATTTCAGATTTTGTATACTTCAATTTTAACAGATTCTAAAAAAATTCTACAAAATTTTAAGTTGTATAAAATAATGTATGTCTGCATGTGCGTTCGGGGAAAAATTCTACAAAAGTTCTAAAAAAAATTCTAGAAAGTTCTAAAAAAATTCTAAAAATTTCTAGAGAGTTTTAGAAAATACTAGTGTACATTGTCTACAGTATACAGTGATTTTGCCTTGAATTTTGCCCTCGGAGTAAACCAAACCAAATTTTGTGTACATAAAAATTCAAAAAAAATTCCAAAATATCTAAAAAATTCTAGAAAAGTTCTAAAAAAAATTCTAGAAAGTTCTAAAAAAATTCTAAAAATTTCTAGAGAGTTTTAGAAAATACTAGTGTACATTGTCTACAGTATACAGTGATTTTGCCTTGAATTTTGCCCTCGGAGTAAACCAAACCAAATTTTGTGTACATAAAAATTCAAAAAAAATTCCAAAATATCTAAAAAATTCTAGAAAAGTTCTAAAAAAAATTCTAGAAAGTTCTAAAAAAATTCTAAAAATTTCTAGAGAGTTTTAGAAAATACTAGTGTACATTGTCTACAGTATACAGTGATTTTGCCTCGAATTTTGCCCTCGGAGTAAACCACACCAAGTTTTGTGTACATAAAAATTCAAAAAAAAATTCAAAAATATCTAAAAAATTCTAGAAAAATTTTAGAAAAATTCTAAAAAATGCTAGAAGTACCTTCCGAATTAGAAATTAAGGTAACAACTACGTACTACAAATGCATGGAGCCACGCTTTGTCGACCGAGACTTTCTCCTGCACAATTTGCCGAACAAAGTACCGTTTAATGGCGCACAAATCATACACGCCGCACGAAACCGTTAAAGTACTTTGTGTCCTGTCAACCTTTAGCGTGCCCTTCTGCTCGCCTCGGACGTAAAAATCCACCGAGGTGACCGGGGCACTTTTGCCGGTCAAAAGTGTGAGAATCTCGGGATCGAGACGATGATAGCAGTTCTTAACGACCGACTTGAAGAAGTGTCTCGTGCTACACTCGCACCTAAAACAGTACTCGACGACCCGTTCGGCGAAGACGCGATTGTACCGTTTGGCGATCTGCATGACGGGATTGTCCTGAAAAAGGCACCGGCGTGTGGTGAAGTGGTAGGAGACGTCGACGGCCACTGTCGAAAGCGGAAGGGTGCTCCACGTACTGTCGTGGTTCACGTGGAGGGCGGCGGTGACGGTCGCGTCTTCCGCGGAGCAGTCGAAGGGGACGACGATTAAATGGAGATTGTTCGGGTGCTGCTTAGAAACCGACACGCTTTTCGACACTGATAACCGACCATTTTTGACAGAGGCGTGCAGAATACAGTTCCGACTTGTAAACTTTCGAAGCAACGCCTGCGAGATGCTCACTTCGACAACGTAAAATTTACAATCGCGAAACTTGGACAAGCTTTCCAGTTCGAGTTGGGCTTCTTCGTCGCCGTATAAGAAGAATAGGTCGAACACCGAGTCGTAAACCTTAACGAAAACCTTGCAGATATCTGTGGACAAAGGCTTTTCGGTTGTAAGCCGAACTGCGGCCAGCTGATTTGTGATCTTTTCAAACTTTTTGCTTAACAGTTCGTGTTTCTTGTATTCGCTATCGATTTGATCTAAAATTGATTTGTATTTGTCTAAACGAGCACTCGATATAAATTCCATTGTTGACTTTGGTGATATTTGAGGTTAGAGTTTGAATTTGAAAAGTGGGGTTAACTTCTGTTTGAATTTGGGAGGTATTCAGAACATTATGAGCGCATTCTGTTTAATCCAACAAGGATTTATAACAATGAATAAACAATGCTGAATGCGTCATAACCAGCTTTATGACTTACCGAGGCTAGTACTAAATGAGTACCGAAGTACATGTAAAGTTATATAAGTGCGGTGATGACACACCCCTATGGTTAGGCAACACACCTTTCATGTAGACATTTTGCTTTCCTTATACACTCTTAAATTTTCTTACTGTTTTTCATTCATTTTATAGGTATTTTTAGTCACTTTAAAATATTTTATATTTGTTTAGTATTAAGGTTAAGCTCTGAATAAAAGTGAGAATTTGGATTTTTGGCTTTTGAAATTTCTTGCAAATTCTAAAACACATGACGTACTTCATTCAGAAGGCAAGATTTTATTCTTAGCCATCAAGTTGTAGTGTACTTAACCCCCAGTTTCTACGCTAACTTCACACTACAATAAACGGAAATAAAGTCAACCTGGCAACGTTTAAACACGGCCACCCGAATGACTATTCCCTCCAAAACTAAACAAGATCCCACTTAAATTTGAAAAGTCGCACGTGATAAAACATACAAGGCAGGGCCCCCTTACGTTAGTTGAAGACACGCTTTGACCTGAAGCACAGTAGGGAAGGAACGTTAAATAAAACAGTGAAATTGTGAAAAGTTTGTTTAATAATGATCGTAATTATTAAGATTGTGAAAGCCCGGAAATTTAGGTAATGTACTGTAACGTTATTTATAAATTCGGGTTCGATTTATATCAATATTTATTAAACAAAACTAAAACACTATAAAAACCGTACAATTTATATCGATTATTTATATCACACACTTCGTAATTTATATTTCCGCGCTCTATGTTTTATCTGTACTCGATCTCGTTCGATAGTAGACTGCTTGCGATGTTCGGTCCGCAACCATTTATACACGCAAGCAATGTAAGTGAAGAACACTCGCGTAATTTACCGGATAAGTCTGGAATATTCCTATACATATCCCACTATCGCGCGCGTAGAAAATTCCAGAGCGCCAAAGGTGACGTCATGTCTGGAGCGTTTCCTTTACAGTACCTACACTTCATTTGAAATTGCTTTTGAATTTATGGGATTAATAGCCGCCTTGGACTTAGTTTTCCTTAAATGGCACTTCAAGATGGACGGAGTCTTGCAAAATAATCGACTGCACCAAAATTTCTCGGGGAAACACTTTTTCTTATTAATTTTGGTGCGTAGAATCCAAAACAATTCGTACTTTTTCGATTAGACTTATATAGACTAGAAACCAATTTCGAAAAAAAATTCAAAGGGCTGTAACTTTTGAAGTAGTAGCCCAATCTTGGAACTGTTTGAAATTATGAATTGTACAGGTCACATTTCATAAAAAAAAATTTTTTCCGGATCAATCTGAGACAATTTTTCTTTCGAGGCTCAAAAAAAGGCAGTGTATAACATTCCTTTTTTACCAAAAATCGACTGCACCAAAATTTCTCGGGAAAACACTTTTTCTTATTAACTTTGGTGCGTAGAATCCAAAACAATTAATTAATTAATTCCGTGGTAGAATTCGCTGAGTCATTGTAAAACTTTAATAGCGCGAAAAAATTAATTTGGTCTTGAGCCATCGTAGAGATAACCTAAAAAAAGCGTTGGAGATCCTGTGAGCCCAAGCTAAGGCCCCGTGGCTAAAATTAGCGCCGAACAGGCCAGATTGAAATACTCTCAAATAATCCAGCAACGTGAAAAGTTATGTACGTATTCTTCTAAGCATCTTTCATTGGGGGTTTGCCGTAAATAAACGTGACTTTACCTAGAATAGTGTTGTAATGATCAAGACGGTTAGCCAATACTCTCCCATTCAGTCAATAAAATCCCGCATTACGTTTACTAATTTTATTTCATTTAGGATCGAATGAACTTTTCAAGAACTTGCGGCAAGAGATCGTTGTTATCCAACTGAAGCATCTCCCCAATGATTTCCTGGTTCAGTTTACTCATTTCCTCGTTGATGTTCTCTTCGGTTCTTAACGCCACCTTCAGCTCGTGCAAACGGAGAGTTCCCTCGGACCTGCAATAACGTAATCAAATCGTCGATTGGCGGCGCGCGCCTAACCGTTGAAACTCCAGCGCGGTGATGTTGTGCCTCAACTTCTCAATTTCGATCTTTAGTTCGGCGTTCATTTTTTGGCTGTCGTTAAACACTCGCTTTTCGGCTTGCATTATTTCCTAAAATTACACGTTTAAATGAATGGGTGGCCGACGCGGTGTACCTGGCTGATGTAAGCCCGATTTTGGGCGTCGGAGAGTGAGTTCTCAAGCTCTTTGTGGGCACTCTCTGCTTGCGCTAGTTTATCCTGGGCGAGCTTAGCCTAAAAGTCATTTTTACGGGGAAGAATATCTTTCCAGCACTCACATTCTCTTCGGAAGTTTTCAGCTGCAAGCCCAGCTTCGCGTTTAGGTTTTCCAAGTGGGTGATGATCGTCTGGAGCTTCCTCCTTTCCTTGTTGTGGTCATTAACTTTTAACTGCAAACTTTTCAGGTCGTTCGTCATCGACTCCCTTGCGATATCCGTTTGGAGCTTGAATTTGAATTGAGACGCTGATAGTTGATGGTCGATTACCTTCTCGGACGACAACCTGAAGTTCTCTTGCGTCAGTTGGTTGATCTGTGCATTGGCCTCGAGCCTAGAGACCTTTTCATCGATAACCAATTGCGTGGCGGTTAGAAGCTCGCCGACCACGCCCTTCTGTTTCCTGGCCAGGGCTGCATGCTCTTCGCTTAGCTTATCGTACTTGAGCATGAGCTCATCGAAATCTTCAGCTAAGCTCACCAAGTCATTCTCGATCTCATCACGCTCCTCCTTGTGGTTGCTGAAATTGCGTCCCAATTAAATTGGGAAGTTAGTGCAACACTTACCGTGTAAGTTTTTCGATGTAACCCTCGTAGTAGGCTTGCTGGTTTTGAGCTTTGCTCATTTCCGATTGTAGTGCTTGATCTAGAGTGGTTTTGGCCGTGCGGAGTTCTTCGACTACGTAGACAGAGTGCTCGTGCTCGGAGTATATTTTGGACAGCTCCTCTTTAAGATGAGCAACCAGCGCAGACTGCTCGCGGTGGTTCGCGACAGATATCTGCATTTCGTCCATGTCCGCCGACATCTTTTCGACGCGGCCTTGCAGTTCTTCCAATTGGTTACGTTTGCCTTCGAGCTCCGCCTCCAGCTGCTCCGAGCGAACCCTTTCCTTTTGCTCGGCGGACAGTTCGTCAAGCGCCCTTCGATGTTCTGAAACCAACGGTCGGCGCCTTACCTAAAAAGCATCGAACTTACTTTGCAAGAGCTCCTCGTGCTGAGCGGTTAAACTGGCGAGCGATTTGCGCGTGTGCTCATCTTTCAAGCGGATATCTTCCAGTGCGCGCTTCTCCTGGATCAGAAAACCTTCGGTCGCCTCAAGCTTTTTGGCCTCGTTTTGGAGCGCTCGTTCGAGTTCCTAAAGGCATTAGATGTTAGACTACCTTGTTAAATTTTTGCCATGTAACCACTAACTAAATACTACTAACTACTATATAACAAGGGGAACACCAACGCGTTTAAACAATTTGTCCTTTCCCGAATGTCTAAAAGCCCAAAACCGAATGCCCGAAAAAACTTCTCTCTAATTTAATCCCTACCTATATTGTGAATTCGTGTATGCCCCTTTCAAAATGACGTCTAGTAATTATGTAAACCAGCTTTCTCTCACGACCAATCGGAATGCCCCCCCCCCCCCCTGGAAAGACGAGAGGATTTTACTAGAAAGCTTTTGGTTGTTCTGGCATTTAAAAGTTCACATTCACATGGACGCTTTTCAAAATATTTCCATGTGCTTTCCAGAGTAAAGGAAAGCTTTCCAGAATCAAATCGCTTTGGAGAGCCTTGGATTGTTCTGGAAATCGTTTTTGTTAGGTTTCGAGCATCGGAAAAAATGAACAAGTTTTTCGTCCGAGCTTTGCTCGAGTATAAGTTAACGTTTGTTCGGGAATCTCCAAATCCAACTTGCGATTCCGAGTATTTTTCTTTACACGGAAAGTTCCGGCAGTTACCGCTAAATGAAGTAAGACTCAAAAGTGCGTTAACATTAACGTATCAGTTTACCATCGCAAAAATTATCACCTACCGTATTCGTCAAGGACAAATTAATTAACGTGCCGGTTCGTAACTCTTTTGTTACAATTCCGAGTATTTTTCTTTACACGGAAAGTTCCGGCAGTTACCGCTAAATGAAGTAAGACTCAAAAGTGCGTTAACATTAACGTATCAGTTTACCATCGCATAAAATTATCACCTACCGTATTCAGTCAAGGACAAATTAATTATACGTGCCGGTATCGTATACTTCTTTTGTTACAAGGATTTATATGAAGTTATTCCCTTGCGTATGCAAAAATAACAAAAGAGGGATTGAGTTTTTTGGTTAGAACTCGTAATAACAATGTTGTTTTTCGTCCGAAGACCTCCTGTTCTCCTGTCCTGAAACTCGTGGTTGACCTATACTTGCCAATTATACCATCATTCGGGTGTTGTTGGTATAAATATAATGTAAGAAGCGCACATTCGTTTTCTACTAAAGGAATGTTCATTTCTGTGCTCCTGATCTTTTGTTTTTTGGAAGGGCTTGTTAATAGAAGAACATAAATCACAGCTTCAAGTTAAGTACTGCGTTCCTAGTCCTTTTTATGAAAGGTGTGTAACCAGGATATTGTTAATCTCATACTGTTCGAAGTTAGATCCTGATACTGTTACCTTTCTGCGCGCCGAATACAGTTAATTGGTTTCCGTTTTCCTGTCAGACTAACACAGTCTTGCACTTGGAGGCTAGTGCTCCCAACCCTCTGTTTTTCAACAATTTATTACCACTACTACTCCGGGAAAAATTCTGCAATTGTTTTTCGTCCGAAGACCTCCTGTTCCCCTGTCCTGACGCTCATGGCTAACCTATACTTGCCAATTAAACCACCATTCGGGCGTTTTTTGTGTAAATATAATGTAAGAAGCGCACATTCGTTTTCTACCAGAGGAATGTTCATGTCTGTGCTCCTGATCTTGTGTTTTTTGGAAGGGGTTGCCAATAGAAGAACATAAATCACAGCTTCAATTTAAGTACTGCGTTCCTAGTTCTTTTTATGAAAGGTATATAGCCAGGATATTGTTAATCTCATACTGTTCGAAGTTAGATCCTGATACTGTCACTTTTCTGCGCGCCGAATACAATTAATTGGTCTCTGTTTTCCTGTCAGACTAACACGGTTTTACTCGAAGGCTAGTGCTCTTAACACTTTATTTTTCAACAATCCAGTAATACACAGTTAAAGTTCTGTTCTCTGGAAAACATTAATTAGTATTCACTTCTATTTTCTTGTCAACTATCTTTCCTCTTTAGTTTTGTGGTCTTAGTCCTAACTACTAATTTCACACTATTTTCCAGTTTTAGCCAGAGGGTTTCACCCTTCTGTGTTTTAGATGCAATTGTTTTCATCCGAAGACCTTCTGTTCTCCTGTCCTGACGCTCATGGCTGACCTTTACTTGTCAATTATACCGTCATTCGGGCGTTTTTGGTGTAAATATAATGTAAGAAGCGCACATTCGTTTTCTACTAAAGGAATGTTTTCTGTGCTCCTGATCTTTTGTTTTTTGGAAGGGGTTGCTATTAGAAGAACATAAATTCCTTTACTCTTTTAGTTTTATATAACAAACTCTATACCATTGTGCTGTTAACAGTTGTACCTTCTTAAAATTTTCAAATTCACTTATCTCCTACCCTTTTTAAGGTTTTGCTGTCAAAAGACTGTAACACACATCGTTTCCAGTTAACCTAAGAGGTTCGTACCCTTATCTGCTTCCCATGCAATGAACTGCTATGCGTTTCTGTTTCCCTGTCACGCCCCGAATCAGCTAAAAGCTTTTACTGTCGTGCGTTCATTTTTTATTAAGAGGTAGTTTACGTCTGCGCTCCTGGTCGGTTTTCGGAACGAGTTGTTGCTAGAAAAATACGAATAGCCCTCTTCCTTGAATTTAGTTCACCAATTCCTATGGTGGGCTTGCTTTAAAGTGCGTTTCCCATTTTATTTCTGTGCTCCTAACATGTTTATGGCCTTTTTACCAGGAGATCGTAAATTCTACACTATTTCCGGTCAACCCCAGAGGATCTCACATTGTTGTGTTTCGGATGCAATTAATTGCCATCCAAAGATTTTCAGTTACCCTGTCAAGTCCCTAGCAAGAAATTCATAAACGAAAATTGTTACCGTCGAGTGCTGCTAGAAAAATATGAATACCCTCTTTTTCAATCTAACCTAACAATTCCTATACCTACTTTTGCGTTATTGCCAGTGCTGCATTTGCGTTTTATTGGGAGAGCAAGCTCTCAAATTGCACCTTCCTACTTCTGTGCTCCTAAGATTTTCATGGCTTTGTTGCCAGGAGACCGTTAATTCTACAATATTTCCTGTAAACTCCAGAGCCTCTTAGTTTTCCGTACTTTAAATGCAATTAATTGCCTCCCGAAGAACTTATGTTTCCCTGTCAAGCCCATATCAGGGAATTAAAAAATGAAAATTGTTACCGCCGTGCATTGTAAGGCAGTTCCGAGTGTAAAGGTAATGTGGTAAAGGTAGATTCATTTTTTAACTAAAAGTTGTGCTCCTGATCCTTCTTTTAATAACCGCTTTACTAAGAGAATATGAACGTTACCCTGCATTTAATCTTTGTGAAGGATAACATCATTTAAATAGTTACGTCTTATTCACTGGTACATCCTCCGTTTAGTACCAGCAGAATACTAACTCCACAATGTTCACCATTAAATCCTTCTGTGTTACAAGTGCCATTAAATATTACCTGAAGAACTTCTGTTTCCCTGTCACAGCACTTACATCTGTTGTCATCATTCCTATGGGGATTATTGGTGGTAAGGTGTCGGGAGACGTGTAAATGCATCTTCCATTTAAAGCTTGTTCACTTCTGTGCGCCTGCTCCCTTCTGGAGTTGTTAACAGCCGACCAATTTTTGAAAACCTGGACGTCTTTCTTGTAGAGGACTGGTTCGGGTTGTTCAATTCGTTACGGGAAAATACGAATTCTGTGTTTAGTGAAAGATGAATGAACTATTTTGTTTAGAATGAGTAGGCTCGTATCTTAAAACGTTAGGGTACAGTCAGTCGTATAACGCCAACTTGATCAACGACTGATAAAACGGAAGCGACTGGGAAATTAGTGCAGTGGCACCATTTGCGTTTGCTCATTTTACTTTTGCATGCGTTTTATTTAGTAGTGACGTTTAAGAGGTTTAATAATCCGCCATCGCGCCCGGAAATCCAGCCGACCGTAGCCCCGAGGGTCTCTTGTACGATATAAACATTGGAAATTAATGTAAAAAAGGGAAACGTCGTCGTAAGAAATTCATAGAAGAAAGATATCCGACGGAAGATCCATTTTACAGCCCGCTTCATTGTATCAACCAGGAATAATCGCCCCTAACCTGTTTTATACCAACATCGTCATCTGCAGGGATCCGTTAACTTGGCCCCCCCACTGAGAGATTTGATAGTCGTATTATTTTGAAATGAATGCGCTCATATGCGCCACCGATAATAACTCTTGCGCCATTATCGTTTTTTAGAAATCCGAAAAAACATTTGGGGGGGCCAAGTGAACGTAGCCCCCCCCCCCAGTACGTATTTTGTCCCTTGTAACTAGGTCACCTGATACATTTGGTTATGCGCTCAATTGCGCCACTTGAATTAAGCTAGCGCCATTACGGTTAAGCCGTGACAAATTTTTAAAAAGTGGGGGGGGGCAACTTAACGTTTTTAAAAGTTACTTTTTTTTAACATCTTTTCATACGAAATTGTACTCTCAGGTATGCGCTGAAATGCGCCGTAAAAAGATATCTTTGCGCCATTATTGTTTTTTGGTTATCCTTAAATATATTTGGGGGGGGGGGCAAGTGAACGGAATCCCCCATAACGCATTTTGCTACCGGTATTTGTGCCACTTGATACATCTGGTTATGAGCTCAATTGCGCCACTTGAATTAAAGCTAGCGCCATTACGGTTAAGCCATAAAAATTTTTAAAAAGTGGGGGGGGGCTAACTTAACGTTTTCAAAAGTTACGTTTTTTAACATGTTTTTTCTACTACATCGTACCTTTCATCATGCGCTAAAATGCGCCGTAAACAAAAATCTTGGCGCCATTATAGTGTTTCAGAAACACTATACAGGGTGTTTTTTTGGGAGCTTTAGTTAAACGATTCTGAGAAAGTAAAATAGGTAGGTTTTTAAAATTTGTATTTAGGAGTTACTCCGAAGGCCGAATCGATGTAAAATATTTTCAAAATGGACGCACTTCCGGAAATAACTTTTGAAAACGCTAAGTTAGACCCTCCACTTTTTTAAATTTTTTTATGGCTTAACCGTAATGGCGCTAGCTTTAATTCAAGTGGCGCAATTGAGCTCATAACCAGATGTATCAAGTGGCACAAATACCGGTAGCAAAATGCGTTATGGGGGATTCCGTTCACTTGCCCCCCCCTCCCCCCAAATATATTTAAGGATATCCAAAAAACAATAATGGCGCAAAGATATCTTTTGACGGCGCATTTCAGCGCATACCTGAGAGTACAATTTCGTATGAAAAGATGTTAAAAAAAGTAACTTTTTAAAACGTTAAGTTGGCCCCCCCACTTTTTGAAAATTTGTCACGGCTTAACCGTAATGGCGCTAGCTTTAATTCAAGTGGCGCAATTGAGCGCATAACCAAATGTATGAGGTGACCTAGTTACAAGGGACAAAATATGTACGGGGGGGGGCCACGTTAACTTGCCCCCCCCCCATGTTTTTTCGGATTTCTAAAAAACGATAATGGCGCAAGAGTTATTATCGGTGGCGCATAACGAGCGCATTCATTTCAAAATAATACGACTATCAAATCTCTCAGTGGGGGGGGGGGGCAAGTTAACGGAC